TCTGCATCATCATATATGTTACCATGATTTGAGAAAAAACTGAACATTCAAAACCCCTTACAGGCATGCTGAAGATGATGATGACCAAAGGCAAATCTGGCTAGGAAGTCTAAGAGGAAACACAGTGGAGGGAGCCCAAGCCCCATGTCTCAAACACACAAATGTTACATTCCATGTTAGGGCTTAGATGAGCTTCCAAGAAGAATTCTGCATCATCATACATGTTACCATGATTTAAGAAAAAAATGGTCATTCAAAGACCTTCAATCATGCTGAAGATGATGTTGACCGAAGGCAAATCTGGCTAGGAAGGCTAACAGGAAACACAGTGATGGGAGCCCAAGGCCCATGTCTCAGACACACAAATGTCACATTCCATGTTGCATCATAGGAGAAAAGCCTTATGAGAGAGTGAGTTTCCCTAGGCCTTTCTGACACCCACTTTTGCCAAGCTAGCCCATACCATATACCCCAACAATAAACCTACATTTTCATTAAACGCTCAGCTCATTTTCAATCTGTTAAGGCAACTCCATGCAACTGCAAAAGAGTCATTATATTTTCCTGCTCACAGAGTCCACTGCATTTCCCAAGGAATAATATCTAGGGACAATTAAACTTAGCAAATTACTCTGGAAACTAAAATTGAAAGGTTGCTCTCCTTACCTACAGAGGTCTGTTCAATTTAACTCTAGTGTTCATTTTTTTACCAATTGGCTCTTTGGTGCCTTTTCCTGTACTTGCATACAAATTGTGAACAGGTCAGAAGCTTTTTTGGTGTGTTGGTTCCATACTTATGAATGCCCCAAGTCTAGGGTTGTACTGAAAGACCCAGGTTCTTACATCTTCTAAGGCCTAAAGCTAGGGGCCTACTGCTCCAGGCTTTAGATGGCAGAGACTCAGGTTCAAGGATTCCAGAATTGAATTACTCGTGTCTTTAACTACCAGAGGTCCTACCTCCTGGTAGGTAGTGTTATCTTTGGTCTCCAGCAGCACGTGTTGCAGAACAGGTGGCATTAACCAATGTTAGATACTGTTCAGCTCCTGACTGGACCTCCCTGCACCTGTTCCTGCCCTACCCCTGCCCTGCCTCTGCCTCTGCCTCTGCCTTTGCCCCTGCCCATGCCCCTGCCCTGCCCCTGTCTGTGCTTCTGCCTCCTGATGGCTAGGGTTAAATGTGTGCTCCACTACACTTGGAAATTGCAAAGATTTACTTTGGAAAAACTATTTCAGTGTCCTACCTGCATTTTATAAATTCTTTTACAATGACCTTTAAGCTGGAACTCTCCATTTCATGATTGACCCATATTAGATTATCCAACTATAATAATGTGTTAATTTATTCCTCCTGTGTGCATCTGAGGTTTGGCTTAATTAATAGTAATACTGATTTTAGGCATAGGCACATGGAAAACTGGATCTTCTTGGAGTAGTCATCCCCTATCCATTACATAAAGCCTCTTTGAAAATATTTGTTTTTGCATAATTGGGTGTGCATGCCTATTATATATGGGTACACGATTCTATGTGAGGGTGCACACAAGCCACAGAGCATGGTGGCGCTCAGACCACAGTCTTGGTTATCATCCTGGCCTTCCACCTAGCTTGAAGTTGGGTCTCTCTTGCTGCTTCTCCAGGCTAGCTGGCCTACGAGCTTCCGAGTGCCCAAGGGACTCTCCAGTCTCTACTGGAGTGCTGGGATTGCAGGCTCATGCCACTGTGTGCAGCTTTTACATGGATTCTAGGGATCCAAAAACAGGTCATTAGGCTGTTTGGCAGGTACTTGTAAGTGCTCTGCCATCTTCCTGTACCCCTCTTTTTTAGTTGCTATAAATTTCCTTGTTTTAACATCTGTTCTGTGTGAATTTAATGCGTCTAATCCTTCTTTCTGTTTATTTCTATTAAACTAAGTTTACCCATTATTTATGTGTAAGCTATGTGTGTCTTTATGTTTAAAGTGAAGTATTTTGTAGGCAGCATTCGGTTGGTTTTTATGTTTTATTGGTTATGACAATGTCCTCTTTAACTGGCACAGTTACATCACTGATCTTCAAAGGATTGCTGTTATCATACTTATGCCCCTATTTTGTCTATAGTTCTATTTTTTCTGTTCTTTTTTATCATCTGTGATATTAATTTAGAAATTTATGTGATTACGCTTTTTCCTCCTCTCTAAGCATATCATTTCTATCAATTTGAACCTTTATTTGGGGGTTTTCCTAGCATTTGAAGCATATGTACTCAACTACTGCAGTTCCACTCTCTCTCAAATATATGAGACACCTGATAAGCATGTGATTACCTCATATAAATAAGATATTCAATTCTTCCTTTTCCTTTGCATTAGTACTGTCAATGATTTACTTTTTAAAAAACAC